CTGTTGTGGGGCAGCTCTGACACACGGCCTTTCTCCCTTCCCTCCGCTGTCGGACTGCAGCGTGGCTTTTAGCGAGGCCTTTCTACCGCTAACAGCGCTGGGACTTCCGAAGCGCCGGTGGGAGAGGAGCGATACCGGGCTAGTGAGCCCAGCTCAGCTCCCCCTAGTCCCGTCTCTAGTGGCTAAAGATGCTTGCAGAAGAGCAGAGAAAGCATCTGGCCTGCTTAAGTGTCAAAGCTCACGGGCAGGGGTTGGACTGCTCGCAGCAGAGGTTAGCTGCAGCCTCTGGACGCAAATGAACTTATTTTAGAGGCGTTAATAATATTTCAGCACTGAGTGGAAGTGTGTTCTTTATTGAGAGATGAGCCTATGAAGTCATTGCAGGTACAGGTAGTCCAGAGTATTTTTTTTATTTTTTAAATTATTCAACCGTTGCTTTTTAAGGAGATACAGAGCCTTCAGAGACATACCCAAAAGCCATGGACTCTTATTTCATTTTACTTTATCTGTTTGGTTTTTTTTTTATATGAAAATAGGGGGTTTTTTTGATAGTTTTCTCCCAGTTGCTACTTGTGCAGATAACACTTAATACTATCTGTAACATAGGAATATGGCAACAGCTTTCTCTGATCATGCCTTTTCACTGATATCTCTTGAGTAATTGTGTTGTTATAAGCTGTTTATGTAAGTAAAAAAAGTAAAATAAGATATCAACCATATTAGTCCCATCAAATTAATGCTTTCTATGACAGTGTCCCACCTTGTAGAAATATGCATATTTTATAATTGACTGAGGATATTCTGGGGGCTTTTATAACCACTTAAACTTCACTTGCTTGGTTTGTCGTGGTCCTTAAACCTTATAGGTTCTGCTTTGTTTCCTTTTCCATTGATTCTTGTCCCATTGCATTAGCAGCTCCACATGGCCTTGTTTGAATTTCAATACCTAAGGTAGTCATGAGTGTAAAGCATAACAAAATATTTATTTGGTTTTGTCTATGTAGTTTTCCTTTCTGTCTTTTGCTTTATCGTTTGTGCTCTCTCCTATTGTTTATGCAGGAGTCTGGTACTGAAGCATTGCCTTAATTGGTTTTTAGATGCTGTCATGAATAACTCAAATAAATAATACAAGTAAGTGTCAGAGTTTGTCATTTCTTGTTTGTGAATGTGATTGTTTTTCTTTAGTCTTCAGCTTTGAGGTTTTCACTGCTCTTCCTAGGTCGGAAACAAATTTAGTCATTGTCTGACATTTTCCCCTCTTTGAAGTAAATTTCTTCAAAATAAATCTCTTCACATTTCCTTTAATGACTTCTATTCATGAAGTGTTGTCATGTGTGAGTGAGACATATCTTACAGATGTTTTTGTAAAGTGTTCTGCAAATGAATGGCACAATATAAATGTGTTATGGAAAGATCAGGAAAAGCAGACCCAATACCATGTGGTGAAGGCAGAATCTTGGAGATTTTGTCCTGAAGAAGTTCTGAATTTCTTCTGCCTTAACAACTTTGCTGTACTGTATGAATTTGTGCTTGAGAGATGTGTTCATATACCCTGTGGGACGACAGTTCAATTTGATCTGGAATGCAGAAGCAAATCTATTGAGATAATTTTACTTTATTACGTCTTCATTTAGGAGGAAATAAAATGCAAGGGTAGGAACAATAGCTATATAAAATATTCAGAGTGATTTCTGAAGAAATTTTATGAGGTTTTAGGTCATAAATTTCCACCTCAAATAGAATTCCAAATAGATTCTGCAAACGATGAAGAAATTTATTATCTGAAGTATCAGATATATTCCTAACATCTCAATGTGGAATATGGGAAAGGACGGGGGAGGATTTTTAGCTCTGTCAGGTGAGGGTTAGGTGGGGAATGTACTAGAATATTTTGGAGTTGTCAGGTCAGCTAGTGCTGAATGTGTCTTTAAAAATAGCAGGCCAGAGTGAATTGTATATCACTCCCCACAGGCAACTTCAGATTCTCTAATTTTAGATTGTCTTCCAAAGGAAATGCTGCCCGATGGTGGAAGAAGTGAGGAGTCTGGGTAGTGTATCTTGGTCTACCCCTAATCCCCCTTCCCTTTGGGAAGCCATTTGGCCAATGCATGCTTCAGTTGCAGTTACAAAATCGAGTTGTGAAACTGAAGGTATAATTCTCAATGTTAGATAGTGTGTTAAAAACTTATATTTGATTATAAAATCAAATCAAAATGCCTCGTATACAGAGTTTTACAGTTGCATTGTTTTCCAATCTGCTAAAAAGCAATACTCATTTGAAATATTTGGTGTGATGATAAATGCAGGTGTAATTGCTACGTAGATTGGGAGATCCTTAGAATTTTATTACCAGTTGGAAGACTGAGTTGGTTTCTTCTGTTGGTAAGAAAGGGGAAACATAACATTTAAATAAAAGCCAGCTAGGGACAGATGGCTTCAGGACTCCACCTGGAAGCTTACCTGGTTGATTATGCCAGACCTAAAGACAGGGGTCCAAAAAGCAGGAAGAAAGAAAATTCATGTAAACAATGTAAGTCCCATTCCTACCTTCACAGTAGATAAAGGTAATGAGTTTGTTTTGGTTTCTTTATTGGAAGAGTTCTGGTTAGAGAACATGTTAAAACTGTCCTAAAAAGATAAACATTACAGACTAGCATCACTCAGTATAGGTGAAAAAGAAACCCTGATGTTCTTAGGTATATCCTTTTTTGTTTTCTGGGGAGACAAAATACCCATCTGGCCATTTTTGTAATGGTTAGAAAATTGTGGGTGCCTAGGTGCTAAAGCTTGAAAGAGAGATTTATATTCTTAATAGCTCTTCTTTTTAAGCTTTAGTGAATGTTCAGTGTTGTGATTGAAAGATACGTTCCACTGATGTGGTAAGAAAACAATATTCAGGAAAGGTATATAAAAAATAAATCTATTTTAAAAGTATTTTTGTTGGGCCTTATTAAGTTTTACACTTTGTTTTTTAAGTGTTTTTAAACTTGTCAGTCACTGTCCCTTGAGCCTAGCCACGTGGCATTGCTGGTCCTTTGCAAAAACTGGTTTAAGTTTGAAGATGTGGGTGCTCAGAATAAGAGTTCTGCACACGTAGACATAAAGGAATTCTTTGGTCCTTCTTATTAAATTAAAGGCCCAGTTCTCCACCCCTGTCTTTTCACACTAATAACCTTAGTGAGTAATATGTGATAAATTAGTGGAGCAATAAACATTGCCAGTTCAGATGAAAACTTGTAACTTTGTGCCTGTTTTGGAGGACTTTGTCACAAAAGAAAGGAGGTTTTGACAGTTTTTAGCAATGTAGAGAAAGATCTGATCCAAGTTCTCATGTTCCAGGAGTAGACCCTGGTAATAGTCCTCTTTGGTTTTGTTCCAGCAAATTAGTGGTGGATAATAGTGTAATACTGGAACTGTCAACTTCATGGCATGGTAATTCTTGTGTCATTCCAATGGCTCATGGGGACAGTTTTGTGCAACTGTCATTCTTGCTGTTTTTAAACAGTGAACTTTGTTTCAAAATAAGTTTAGTAATAGCAGCATGAGCTCTAGAAATATCTTGTTCTTTTGTGTCTTTCTAGTTATCTGTTACTTAACAGCAAAATATTTCTTTCTAGGTAACTGAGAAAAGGAATGCCTAATGGTGCTTCTCTTTTGCTGGATAAAAATACCTTGGAAGCTGCTTTGCATCGAGCGTGAATAATCAGTGAAGACATATATCACTTTCTGGGGTGTTGCATGTTCTCAGAATGAAGATCTCTCTGCTGCAGCAGATGTACAAGGATGTACTAGTAGGCATTCTGCTACCAAAGGAAAGCCATCATTACACCTCTTTACTTGATCTGTGTGTTGAGCAGTCACCAGAAAGAGATGAATCATGCAATCAGACGCATTTGCCATCTCCTAATGGTGGTATTAGGAGCCGTCAGGACACGGATATGTCAGATGCAGCTGTCCCCACAACAGATGATATAGCAGATAGCTTTGCAAACATGAACTCCTCGTTCTGCCCACGAGAAGTGCTGCTGCTGCAGCTAACCTTGATCAAGATGATGGCTGCTAAAGCACGGTCCCAGGAAATTGAGTTCAGTATGAGACAGAAGTACTGTGAAATCTTTGCCATTCTTTTGAAGGAGGCAAACATTGACTCAAAATTGGTAGGCTCTCCTATTCAAAAGATTTTTGTGAAAGGAGTTTAAAAAAAAATGGTGCCTTAGATACTTTTTCTGTGTGTGTGCAGATTTGTCTGCTCGGTCGTTGTGATCCGCTGTTATCTCACATGGCTTCAAAAAGTTTAGCATCCCTTGTGTATTTCCAGCTGAAGGAAGAGGTGAGTATGGCACAACTCCACAGTGTGAAAAGCCAACTTGGTGAGTGTGTGCCTTCAGGTTGTTCTGCTGGACTCCAGAGCCAAGCTTTTATGGTGTTTATCTGGCACTAACGCAGTCAGTATATGACTACTGTAAAATCTAAAACCTTCCAAAGGGGCTCCTTTCATAAGGGGCTGCCCTCTTTGAAAGCTACTCTCTAGAAAGCTGGTGTGTTAGAAGGGGGATGGAGTAAAGAGAGATTGGATGTGTGACAAGTTTGTATTATGAGGTGAAACAGCATTATATATAAAAATCTGTTGGTTTATGAATATTTTAAGGTAAATTGTTTCTAAATTACAAGAAATATATAAAGCTGCAATACTGTTAAGAAATCAATCTAGACTTGATATTTTCACTGTTACTTGATATCTGTTAGGTGATGCAGTACATAAAAGCAGGTAATAACTTATTGAAAGATAACAAAATGCTTTTCTGTATTTTGTCTGAATATTCCTATTACTTCAGGGCTTTTTTTTTTACTCACTGTGTATTTGGTGAATATACATTCTAACCTCCTTAGTAGCATCTCTGAACATAATTTCTCAGAAATACGTTTATAATACTTCTTGCAAAGTTGTCTGAGAACTAAAAATTCAGATACAGTCTGTCTGCAGTATTATCTGATTTTATGTGGGTCACATGACATTAGGTTTGACTTTTTTTTATTATTTTTTTATTTTTTTTTTTTTTCCCTTTCTGGAAAATGTACTCTAGGTGACCCTGCTCTGGCAGGGGGGTTGGACTAGATGATCTCTCGAGGTCCCTTCCAACCCCTATGATTCTATGATTCTATGAAAATACAGATTGTTTCTATTGTATGTGACTTCAAGATTGAAATAGAGGCCTATGTGCTTAGAAGGCACCAGACAGACATTGTTTCTAGTTATGTTTTGTCTGTGCCTGTATTTGCATCTTTTTAATATACAATTTAAAGTCTTTGTTCTAAGATGTAAGGTAATCTGCCCAGCGATGGTAAAGCATACATGATTGGGTTTTGAATGAATTTTCTTAGAACTCATTAAATGCCACCTGGCTCACCTTTAGTTTGAAGACTCTCTCAGGATTCCCAGTGCACACCCAGGTGGCAGAATGCCTGTGGACTCTCACAGCTGTTATCAAGGACATCCTGGAAGATGAAGTTGTGCCCAGAGCAGGTACAGTGGCAGTTTTATGGTGTTACCGATACAGGAGTGCCCACTAGGGGGTGGAATGTTCCTTCTAATCTCCTCTGGAACAGCTTGCCTAAAGAACACCCAATTTCTTCCTTATAAAGAGGGTGACAAAGTGCTATTAAAAATGTAGTGGTTTTAACATGCTTAAGAGCCTAAAAATCAAATAGTCACACTCATCTCTTTCCTGCTTACTTGATGGTTTACCTGTGTAAAACTCCAACCCTGTCATGTTCTTCTTGTTGCTGTAGGTGTTTTGAAGAAGCTGTTGGCTCCTCTTGATGCTGTGCTTGAAGGATTTTATAATTCCATTCTGTTCCATCATTTTGACAGTCAGTGCTATACTTCACCTTATTCTGAAGCTGCAAACAATTTGATCAGTTTTATAGATCTGCTTGAAGCACTTTTGGCTTCCAGAATTGAATTAGAACTACCATTCAGATGCCAGAGAGTATTGTTTTTGAAAGTTTCCTGTGTCCTGAACCTCATTAGCTCATCTATTCATTATGTAATCAAGAAGAAGTTCATTATGCTCCTTAAAAAATGTGTCCTTTACAAGTCTAGAGAAGATGCTAAAAGTGGATCCCCATTCTCAGAAGCCCCATCTCTTTCTGAGGATATGCTTGCACTGAGTAACACTGCACTGCAGGTGATGAATTTGACTTGGCTTAATGGGATCCCTCTCAGGGAAAAGACCAGCTACTTTGGAGGCAGTGAAGCTGCTCCAGGAGATGATACTCAAGGTGGTTCTGACCAAACTGTTCTCAGAGCCTTAAGTCTGGTTGTGCTTAAAGCACTGGAATTCAAGTTTCAGAACTGTGCTACAGAGGCTGAAATCAAAGGTAATAGTTTCTTTTAATTTTGATCATTAAGCAGAAAGAGTATTTAAGCTTGCAGATTTTCTTGTCACAACTCATTAAGGCTGTAAATAGAATTCAGCTGAATTAGTGATGATGAGAGGGAGGAAAGAAAAGACCCACCCAGGAAACCTGCCATCAGTCCTGCCTAATTAGTTGTCTCCTTGCATTTTATCCTGTCCTTAGCCCTGCAGTGTGAGGGCCTTGAAACGTCTGCTTTTGGGATTAGAAAACTTTTCCTGTTTAGACCATATGTTAATATTGGGAATAGTTGAGCCAGCCTGGGAACACCAGGCTCTTCTCCTGCTGGAGACAGCCCATAGCACAACCATCTACTCTCTTCAGGCTAGGGAACTCAAGGGAACTGCAGGTAGTGCTCCTCTGTTTTCTAGTGTGGAGGTAAAACTTTTAAGTACCTTTCTTGGTTGAAGCTACTAGGTGTTACTGTTGGACAAATAATGTAATAGGGCAAAACCAGCAGTGGTGGAAAAGGTGAAATTAATGAAGTGACAAAGTAGGAGACAGGCAAGTTATGGGACTTAGCAGGGTATGGTGGTTGTTCTTCACCCTGATTTTCAGGTCTAATCCTTTGAATTAGTAGGCGTGAGGTGTATTTTTCGTACCTGCTTGCTTGAGTGTCCTACTGAGCAGAAGGGCTGGCTGTGGCTCAGATGAAATTTTGGAGCATTTTAAATATATGGCAATGTTTTAATACAAGTTCTAGATGTAACTGTTGGTTTACTTTTCATGTTTCTATGTTATATAGCTAGCATAAAGTTTTTAATTCATCGGGCAGTGTAAAAGAGCTACAGACATTTGTGAGACACCTCCTAACACTTTCCAGATTTTAAAAGATGTTACATTTGTGATGCTGGTTGCATTCTTACAGCTTTAGAAGTACTTGTAGAGAATATTTTTCTTATAATCCACCTTTTGAAAGATGTGTAAATTGAGATTGCTGAAGAACAAGTGAATAGAAAAAATGTAGGCTAAATCTATTTTAGATGACTCTATGAAAATTCTTTCTGAAAGAAAAAATTCTCCTTTTTTTTTTTTTTTTCAGATTTATGACACAAAATTGAGTTCTTAATTAGATTCAAATACCCCAACTGTCAAGAGGAATTTCAAGTTAAAAGGAATGGTGCTTCTATTTTACTGACATTAAATTAAGTGATTAAAACAAGCACCAAAATGCTTTAATATGCTAACTACCCTTCCGGGAAGCTCCTTGATCTTATCTTTTTTTATTAACATGAATTAGACTGGCTAAACTTTAATTCATTTCAGTTCTGAAAGCAATTTTCAGTTAGCTTTGATTTATAGGGAGGAATTTGAGTCTGAATAGTGACTATTAATAACAAAAGATCATTTGCTGTTCCTATTATTTACAAAGAGGAAAAGCAAATCTTAAATATTAAGGAAAGCCACGGAATGATGTGGTAAGTAAAACTGATTCCCATGTTGCAGAGGATTTTTCAGAAGCAGCAATGAGTGCTGTATGCATGATGCAACTGCACTCTTCAGGTCATAGTGCACTTCTAGTTCTGGCTTGAGTGCCTTTGGGGTGAAGATGTGTGTCACTGGCTTTTCCTCCATTTTCTAAACACAGACTGTGTGCTCTGTTACATGAGAAACTGGTACCTGGTGCTTAGTATGTGGTACTTACTGCAGGGTACGTGGGGTTTGCTTCAGTCCTATCAGACCATTGCAATTGTGTTATTTCATATGGGAGGAACTACCTGAGGAGGTGAAATCTCAGCAAAATGCTCCTATTGAATCATTATGTCTGTGGCTTTGACTCAATTAAAATTCACCCTTCTTTAGTGTGTTGTATCAAGGAAGCTATGGGAAAGTATAAATTCCAGCTGGGTAGATACAGGCCCATTTTTGTAGGTTTCCTGACAAATGCAAACTTTTCGAGGTGTAATCTTGTTCATTAGTCTGCAGGCTTAGGCAAGAGAATTCACCATGCCATACCCAAAACTTTCCATGTCACCTCTGATTATTATTCCTTGAACTCCAAGGAAACAAAGAATGCTGTTTGAATAAATTGTCTTTAATTGTTTGTTTATTCTGTCTTGGGAGGGGCAGTACCTACTGAGTACATTAACCTTCTGCAGGTTACTTACCATTGTTGACATTCATATCTAAACGTTGGTGTGTTTGGGGTTTATTAGAGGAGGCACTCACATTGAATCAACTATCTAACCTTGAATTATGGTTTTCTGCAAAATGTGTCTTGATTTCTTTGATACAAGGAAGCAAGAACTGATCAATAAAATTTGATGCTGTGTAAATCAATCAAGCTATGGAATAAATGCATTAATTAACTGTTATGCACTGTTAATGTAAAAAATAAAGAGTATATGTTGTTTAGTAGCAAAAAATTTATAGGAAAATTAATGGTTACTTTTTTTTTTTTCCAGGAGAGTTTCAGAGTTCCATGTCCCAGCTGTTGATATTCTGGAGGAGTCACGTGAAGCCTTCCCCACACTCTCACCCAGTTGTACATCACTGTGAATGGCTCTCCTTGATTTTCTTAGAGCAAGATGATGATATGTGGGAAGCTGCTAAAGCTTTATTACTCACTTATTTAAAATTTGATAGGTTAGTGTACCCTTCATTTGACAGAAGTATAAAGAATTCTGAGCTGATGAGGTTATTGTGATAGCTGCAACATTTCCATTGGTTACTTTTGTATAAAGAAAAACTATTTTTACTAATTAAAAACTCAAAGCTCAGGTCAACATAATAATGTGTGGTGTAAGAGCAGTTAACTTTGCTGACAATTTAAGTCAAAAAACACTTAACCTTAAGTGGGTTTTGCATTGAAATGAGGGAATTGTGCAAGAGTTTCCTATTAAATACTTTATCATATCCTGTAATTCAGAATAATGGACTTCACAATCCAAACTAGTGGTTAGATACAGATAAAAGGCAAGAGTGTTTTCTGCCACCACTGCAAGTTTGATAAGAATGGAATATTGTAATTGAACCTCAAGAATTCCAGGACTTGTGGCAAAGGAGCCCTCTAAGGCTTGGACCCATGTTAATTCTAGCTAGCTGAAAAAAAAAAACAGTTACTGCTAAAAAGTGAAATATGTTCTTCATTAATTTGTCCTGGACATTCACTAGTTCATTGTTGTTTGAATTACCATATGAGATATTATCCTGATTTATGAAAGGTCCCTCAAGCTTCAGATGGGAAGGTATTGCAAGTAGGGTCTTAGATACCCACAGTTCTGCTGACACAGCTGAGCAGAAGCAGGCTGCTCTTTTCCAGTGTGCTTAGCATCCTGAAAGTTCATCTCTGTTCTGGTTTACAAAACTAAATTAAAATAACCATTCCTGTATGGTAAGTAAGTTTGTTTATTGCAGAGTGTTTCCTAAGCAGGAGAGCTCTTTCAGAAGGCCTACAGCCTGCTTTAAGTACTTTGGCTACCTAAACTGATTCCTAGCCATGCCTGCCTTCATGCTCTCCCATTCGAATAGAAAACCTACTTGTTTGTTTTTTACTTCTTGACAAAATAAAAAAAGAGCAAGAATACAATTTTCTGTGTAGTTTTTTTTTTTTCCACAAAACCCTGTAAACTTCCTCTGAATTTAATCCATTTCATGACTTACTTTCCAGGTTACGACATGATACTGCTGATAACTTAAGCCAAAAAGAGGAGGAAACCTGGAACTTTCTTACACACGCAGGTGGATATAATCCTCACTGTATATTTTTATTTTTTCTAGAAAAAATTGCATTTGATTCCACAGTATTTCTAGATTTTTTGATTTCATCAGAAACTTGCTTCCTAGAGTACTTGGTAAGGTACTTGAAGCTCCTTGGAAAAGACTGGGATCAGTTTGTAGACATCTGTAACCATTTTGATATCAAGCATCGCACTTTTCAGTCAGTTTCTCCTATCAAGCCACCCCATGGAGAAGAACAAAGCTCTGTGACTGAGGAGAGTTTGCCAAAGGCTGCCTGTGAACCAGAACCACAGTCCCTGAGCTCTTGGGCTGCTTCTCACCCTGGCTCGGTGTTTACGACAGAGCGAGGTGATAATGGAGTTGCAGAGTCCAACCAGTCTGACTGCTGGGTGCACAACAATGGTGCCTCTCTGCTGGGCTCCCTTCAGAGCCTCGTTAATTACGACAGCTCAGGAGACTCTCAATTAGAATCAGATGGGGAAGAGTGCTTGGTAAACACAAAGCAGGTGCCTTTAAGTACCCAGACTGAGGTGGAAACTGGTTGCAGCTTCGCAGATGATAAACGGAGCGCACCCAAGTCTGAAGCGTTGCCTCTAAAACAGAAGGGTCCTGATACCTCTTCCTGTTTCACTTCTGTGGTGTCTTCACATAACATCATTCCCACAAGAGTAATGCTTTACAAAGCAACAAAATGTTTGGAAGAACTGCAAGAAGCTATTTCTAGGTTGCAGAGAAGAAATCTTTTCCCATATAATCCATCTGCCTTGTTGAAACTGCTGAGCCATGTTGAGAAGATCAGTAAGAATGTGAATCCACAGTAATCCAAAGGATTGCTCCAGTGTTTTGTGTCTGTTTGGGTTTTTTTATTATTTTTTTTTTTTAACTAGTACATCAAGGAATGTTTTGTTGAGATTGATGACTTCTAAAGCTCATGTATCTTGCACCTGTAAGTGTATTTAACCTGGAAAAGGATGCAACGTGGTTTTGGTTGACACCTTAAAAAATCTGTGATTGCATGCAGGGTTATGATCCGTGACCTGAGGGCCCTAGGTACATTCATACATTCATGGTATGTATGTCAGCATATGGCATGTAAGGCTTAATTGTTAGGTATTCAAAATTTGATAATAAATGACTAATATGAAAGCCTATCAACAATCCTTAATGCTTTAAGTATTGCCAATTATACTTAAATAACAAAGTCATTGCCAGATTTGTAGTGATTTGTGGACTACAGTTAAAGCAACACTTGACTGCTTAGAGGTTGAGCTAAATAAAATACTTTAATTTGGGACAGTTCTGATGTTCATACTGTGTGGTCTGCATTGGTGTATGGTGTATTGGTCTGCATTGGCTCAAAGTAGACAGGCAGATGTGCTACCACAGTAACCCATACCACCCTTTTTGTGGCTGAAGTGCTTAACTGATGTCTAGGATGTAAGTTTTTTATCTTTTATTCTGATTTAATAATCTGTGTTATTTAATAAAAAACTAATTTAGGGGTTTTTTTACTATTGTATATTCATTTAATTAAAATGAATTTAATTAAAAGGACTAATGCACATATTGCTTATTTATAGAACATTTCAGGGGAGCATTATCTCTTAAGATGAAGCTTAGGTAATGCAGAAGTGAAATCCCAACAGAATTCCTCATATTCATCATGTTTTTTTATGTAAGTATAGAATATATACTTAATAAATTTGTTAAATCAGAATTTAAATTCTCACACTTAACACCTTTTATTAAATCTAATTTGAATAACCTGAAAAGTAAGTATCTGGGACCTTGCCTGAGGAGAGTTAGCTCAGAACAGGAACCAAACCAGTGTGTGCACTTAGCAGGAAGCCACCTAATGTTGATACACTTAATGAGGAGCTTGTAATGATCTTGCAAGGGTTAGGCAATGGGAAGGGACTGATGACAGGGACTACTGTAAAAGTCTCAGGTCCTGTCAGAACTAGAAGAAGCAGTTTTCCTTTTAGGATTGTCTCTTGAAGGTAAGTGCTTTATTCTGATTGAGAACCAGGGAAGTTCTCTTCCTTTTAAATAGCTATTTAGTGTTGTTAAACTCAAATAGATATTGAATTAAGATGAACAGTTGCTGGAGCAGGTGACTGACCCCCAAAATCTCTGTGGCTGTCTTCTAAATTAGTCCTGAGCTCTGAACTGGTGAATCAACACCATTGGGAGGAGAAGAAAAGTAGGTGAAGCTAACGGAATACTTTCCCTGGAAAATGCAGTGCTCTCCAGAGACACTGGAAGGGTATGAATTCTCAGGCAGGAAGGTTTGAACCTTCCCTCATTCAGGATGGCAGCTGTAATCCCTTGACAGTTTCATAAGCAGGACTGATCCCCTTCACTGGCATGTGAGAAGCCAGAATATTCTCTGCATTTATTATGCTTTGGTTTTTTTCCTGAGGTAACTTTTATGCATAGGAGTGGGTGAGAACATCAATGGATGGAAACTTTTCCATTCATGCTTATAGTTACTTTAGTTACAGACTAACCTCTGCCTTGTCCAGGGCAGAAGACTGTCTGGTTTCTCTTCACTGTTTGGTTATGCTCTAGATGCCAACTTGCACCTTTCTGTCAGGACTGATGTGCCACTGGGCATGTTCAGAGATGCAACTCTAAACAACCTGGGAACTTTTCAGTTCAAACAAGGGAAGAGCCTTTGGCAAAACAGTTGAGTGAGAGTTTCTCAAGATGACAATTTTAAACGTAGGTAGGTACTTAAATTTCAGTGAAGTCCTTTCCACTATCCTCTCTTCTAATCTAGCTTTTGCCTGACTAGTTTATTTGAACTGTGTAACTTCATTGTTTTCATTGAATCTAGTATTGTTCAGCATTTCTTGGTCTACACTTTGCCAGCTGGAACTATGTAAATGGTAACAGTATTTCTCAGACACTGATAAGATAAGCAGAGAGGGAGAGGCAGAATGGGGAGATACTTGGTTTTTTAAGTGCCAGTCTTGTTCATCAGTGATTACTACAACTATAAAAACTTTTTTTAAAATAAAGTTTAGGCATCTTAGGACAGTGTGTAGGATTTAGCAGAAAGTGTAGGAGCCATAACTTTTTGATTTTTGGATACAGCAAATCCAATTGCAGTGGAACTGTATTTAATCCTTACAGGCATGAGGTTGATTGTGTGCCCACTTGGTTACTAATAGTGATCATTCCCACATGTTCAATTTCTTAAAAAGTCATTGTTTTAATTCTCTGAGTGTTTTAGTGGTAAAAATGAGTGAATGTGGTTTGTATCTGGCAACTAAATACCTTAATGGATTGCTATTTTACCAATGATGAACTGTAGGACCTGAGATGGAGTAAAATTGATGTAAGTCAGCTCTTTTTTTTCCTGCACACAAAATGAGTTTGAGCAGTGAAGGTAGTTAGTTGTTTTATGGCTATATTCAAAAAGTCTAGCACAAAAACACCTTGAAAAAGAATTTGTATTTTAATCCCTTAGTGAGTATATAAGGTTGAGGTGGTGGGAGTTTGGTTGGTTTTTGGTTTTTTTTTGGCTTGAGTTTTTACTATCTGAAGTTTTTAGGCAGAGCTGTTAATTCATTTGCTAAAGCAAGTGAGCTCAGCTGCAGAACCTATTACTAATGTTAAATCTGAATTTAGGAAGTAGGTCAGTTAATACTAGGAGGCTGAGTTGCCTATCCCTTGGCTGTTGCTATTTAACATTTTTTCTTGTGTTATTTGAAAGCAAGACACAGAACAAATCAGGTGATCTGCCTGGAGGCAGTTTTCTATCTGAGGACCTATCCTGAATGTCCACAGCCTCCATTTATGTCTATGCAATTGTTTTGAGGACTTTACCTTCAAAATCCATAGAATAAATTATGCTTTAATGAGGTAAGCAGTTAGCACTAGAAGTGATCTTTTTAAAAGCCACATCCTATAAGCAACTTTTGAACTTGAATATTTGTAGAGTTCAGTTGCAATTACAGGTGAATCCAGGTGGTTCCTTGCTTGTGGTTCTTCAAATGGGATTTCCTCCAACATTTTTATGACTGCTTTCCATTTTAGTTTTAAGACTTGTAATGCAAGTTTTAATCCTGCAATGCAAGAATAAAAACCTAGCAGCAGACATGGACCTGGACTTGGTTGAGAAACATCTCAGGGATTTTAGCGTTTCTAGGTTATTGCCTTTTTAAATGTTGTGCCTGACTTTGTTGCTGATAAATGTCAGAGTTACTCTTTAATAGACAAACTGGCTTGTTGCTAGTTTACATACAGCAAGGAATTACAGCTCTATTTTGTGGCAAAGAGCTTGCATGAAGAATTACAGTATTCTTAGTTCTGATTCTTACTTGACTGTGCTACAAAACGTGAGTTTTGTCCATCAGCAGTGTTCTTTGAGGGGGAAGATTGGAAAAAAATTGTGAAGTGTTCAAAAAAAGTAGCACACAACCTCAAAAGTAATTGCACTGCCAAACGTTGGCTTTCTTAAAAGGTTGCAGGGAAGACTTGTATGTACATATCCTGAAACTATCAGGAGTTCCAACTGCTGATCAGAGTTTGACATCAAAGAGTCTGCCCCATTTCATCCTGGTGCTAGAGTTGAAACCAGAAAGATTTTCTGTGGGGCTTCGAAGAGCTTCCAAATGTCTGTAGCTACTTTTAAGGAAGTAATAGCTACATAAAAAACAACGGATGGGATTTGGAAGCCTATTCTTTGCCAAACAGCATGTACTGATTAAGTAAAAAAGATTTCTTGCCAAATGACAACAAATGGGAACTTCCCTCCAGTACTAGACTTCCTTGATAGTATCGATGTTCTTGAAGGAAATGATGTATGGAAAAGGTGCTCCCCTTGTGCTGACATCACTACAGCTGTTTTGAGTATTAAGCAAGGATCCTTTATGCAGCAATTGTTAAACTCAACCAAATTTTTTATTATTACTATTTCTTTCCTCAAGGGAGAATCTAGTACTTGGTCATCTTCAACAGAATATTGGTCCCTCTTAAGGAGTGTTTTTTCCACCTGAGCTAAAAATATTGACTCGTATGATGCCAGTGTTTTCTCTAATTCTCAATTCTAACCTGATGCAGAGGGGGGAATTGCTGGCTATGAAACATCAAAGGGATTGTAGATAAAGACTGATGCTCTAAGAGTCTTCTAGAAATGTAATCAGACAACATTGGCAGCATTGTTTTACGTGCAAGTGTTACAAATTGTTGAGGTTTATTTTCATACAGTTGCTAAACCAGTGCTTCCAGCTCCAAAGATCAACAAGGCATCTTTTTATAATCATATAGTATTTGAACAGTTGGACATGAATTAAACACACCTCTCTAAATGAATAGGTTGGAGTAATAGTTAAATCTCTAGCATTTTGTTTGGTAGTATCCTGCATCCTAAGATGTCAGTAGCACACAGGAGTGTTACTTGAGGGAATTAGCAGTGCTGTATCTGGAATGGAAAGGGTGAAATTTAGAAATCAATCCTTAGATACAGTTGTTCTTCCAAAGATACTGAGAGTAGCCCAGCAGTTTTAACAGGCTGTTTACTAGAAATACAATCCAAGTTACCCTTCTTGCTAAATTTACCTTTTCAAATGAATTAGAACGTACTTGGTGAAAGTATGTTACACAGGTATACCTTACATAGTTATGTTTTGATTGCTGTAGTGTTTCCGGTTATTAGGAGGGGAATTTGACAAGGATCAACAAGCTGATGCTAAATCAAGGGTTAAGAAAAAAATTCTCACCAAGGATAATTTAAATCCAAAACAGACTCATATTTTGAGTAAAGAATCCTGACAAAACTGGAACCACAGAATCCCAACATGGTGAGGGCTGG